GCGTAAAAATTTTCAAACTCTGCGGAAAAGGCGGCTTCACATATCACGCAAAAATTTATGGAGGAAAGCAAAAAAGACCAAAGGAACAATCACTAGCATGCCTAGTGGTTATAGAATTAACGAAACATTTTCTACAATCAGGAAGAACTTTGGTTACGGACAATTTTTACACTAGTGTCAGTTTGGCACACGAACTAAACGATAACAATAGTCATCTAATTAGAACACTTCGTAAAAATGGGAAATACAATCCTAAGTCGGTGTTTAAAGCAAAGCTAAATGAAGGAGATATGATGGCGCTAAAGAGTAACACAAAAGTTATTGTAGGAAAATGGATAGACAAAAGAGAGGTAACATTTTTGACTACAAAATCTTGTTCAGAAATGGTCGACGTTCATACAAATTCAGGAATAAAAAGAAAACCGTCTACAATGGTAGAATATAATTCTGTTAAATCTTACATTGACGTATCTGATCAAAAAGCTTGCTACAGTAATCCGATCAGACGTCTATAAAATGGTATCGGAAAGTGTGAATGGAGTTATTGACAAATACAGCCGTAGTGAATGATTTAATTGTGTACAATAAATCTTTGAACAAAAAAATGGATATAACACAATTTCGCGAAGAATTAGTGACTGCCATTTGCAAAGACAATAATGTTACAAAACCCCAACAAACAAACCATAGGCTAATAGGCTGGAGTAATATGACAAAAGATGTTTGCTTATGTTTTTTCTATATAAAGTTTCATAAATAATATGTATCAATTTCAAACGGATAATCGAAAAGACGGTTAAGGAAACATTAAAAAACAATTCATAGTATAACTCTCAAATTTTATTTGTATGTTTTATTTGACAATATAAGAGGGATTTATGTTAGTACAGTCGAATCAATTTGATTTAAAATATTCCGAAATCTTTGATTGTTTCAGTGTTACTTCACATTTTGCAATGGCTGAATTTCTTAATCGACATAAAATCATGAATTCTACCGTATTTGCTTCTTCTTGCCGAGATACCACTCGATGAATTGTTGAATGTGTGATGCAGCTTCTCTAGCTTCTTTACGCAACTCTTTGTGAGATACAATAGCATCATCAACATCGCCACCGTCAAAGTCTGTGCCAGGTTCTCAATCAGTTTCGTCCGCCTTTGTTACCATTTCACCATTACAAATTAACCATTCGTTTATGTCATCTTTAGGCAACGAAAACACAACAGTTGATTCAGCCATAAGTTCATTTGTTACCGTATTACGCTTGGCTGTCACGGGGGCAAATTCATCTTGAGTTGATTCAGGCCATAATTTATTCCACTTTCTTTTCAGCGTTACTTTCGAAACATCAGCCCAAGCATCCACAGCATTGTCGACTGCGTGTTTTAAGTTGTATGCTTTCCAGTATTCTGGCAAATAATATTCCTCTTCCATAACTAGGTTTTGAATAAATTTTTTTCTGTACCTTCTTTTTAATGTTTCAATGACCGATTGATCCATTGGCTGTACCAATGATGTTGTATTCGCAGGCAGAAAAGAGCACGTGATATTTCCATCGTCACTTCGCACTATACCGGCTTCAGAATGGGCAGGTGCATTGTTCAAAATGAGAATTGCTTTGCTAGCAAATTTTTTGCTTGCAAGTTTTGTCGAACGTCCGGTATAAAAACCTAAAAAAAAACAATCCATGCATTATGTTGTCCGTAGTAGTTAACGGAAAGCGCGTTTATATTTATGCCCTTGAAACAACGTGTTTTTTGCTGTACCAATCAATAATAATAGAAGGCGATGGTTCACCACTTGCATTTGAACACATCATTGCTGTGATTCGTTGCATTTGCGTTTTAAATCCGGGTGCATATTTTTCAGACAGTGCAGCGAGTATTTTCGTTGGCAATGCTTTGTAGTTTAAACCAGTTTCATCCGCATTGAACACTTGATCGCGTGTCAAACCATATTCATCTTCATAGCTTGAAACTTTCTTTTATATTTGTCAATGACTTCAATACTTGTCAACGACTCAATTTTTCCCCTTCAATTTTCAGTTCCCATTTACCGTGGCGATTTTTGAACGTTTCCAACCAACCGCTTCTTCATTTGAATGAAGGATCGCCATTCAATTTCATGTTGAAAAACAACGATTTTTCGGCATCAATTAATCCATACAAAGGAACACCTTCGCTTTTTGAAGTTATACATCTATACGCACGGTCGGCGTTGGAAATTTGCATGAGACTGAATCTGTGAAATCATTACATATGTAAGATAATGAGTAAGAGAGAGACAGAAGATATATTTTCTCTCTCTTCCTCTCTCGAGAATAAAAATGTTCCTTTTGTATATATATTTAATATTATATTATATTATATTATATTATATTATATTATATTATATTATATATATATATATATATATATATATATACATATAATCTTGTATATATGTATATAATATTGAAACCTAGAGTTAAGATTAATATTATTACAAAAATTAATATCAAACTCACCAGTCTTGCGGGTTGAACCTCGTCGATATCCATTTTGCCGAGCTTTCGACATCCTCTCCGATGTCTTCCTCAGTGTTTCCGAGGTCTCAGTCTCCCGAGTCCGAGACACTACTACACTTGATCACTGCAGTAGTTGCAGTGATCAAGTAGTAAAATTCTCCTGTTAGTGATTCCATAGTAAATTATAAGGAAAAAAACAGGAAAAAAACCTCATAATACTATCCTGACATGGTAAGTATTTGTTCGTGCATTTAGTTTACCTTGAATAAACACCAAAATTCTGATTTTATATGTTTCGTTATTTAAAAAACATAAATGATGTATCCTCTATATGTTACTGACTTACTAATACTGGTATTTTCTTATTAATAACTTCCTCTTTCAATATTGGTAACCAGATCCTACTACATTCTGCCGATGAATTTGCGACACAATTGGCCTCATTTAGCATAATTAGAGCCGCTTCTTTGATTTTTCTTTTTTTACTATCCGTTTCTTTTAGGACTACATTTGAATTATTCCATTGAACCCTATGTTCATTATCCCATGCGTGTTTACATATTTGAGATCTATCGAATTCTCTATTTTTAATATAAGATTGATGTTCACTTATTCTAACATTTAATGGCCTTGATGTTTCACCTAAATAAAACTGATCGCATTCACAAGGTATTTTATAAATGCAATTCTTTGTCCTTTCTTGTTCATTGTTAGGTTTGATTTTAGACATAATAGATCTCGACGTGTTTATTGTTTTAAATGTTGTTGAAATGTTGAATTTATTTCCTATCCTTTTAAGTTTTTCTGATAATCCTTTTATGTACGGTATTGTTATTTTCCTCGTATTATTCCTTGTGTATGCTGTAGGATCTCGTTCTAAGTTGTTCTGTTCTATTCGATCGATTGTTGAAAATTCCTTATTTATAAACGATAAAGGATAATCATTTTTTAATAATACAGATATTAACAAATGTTTCTCCTCCAAGAACGAATTTTCGTTAGAACAAGTAATTTTGGCTCTATCGTATAAGGATTTAATTATTCCCTTTTTTACATTAATATTGTGATTTAATTTGAAATTTAAATATCTGTTGGTGTTTTGGCTTTCTATACACCTGAGTCTTATATCCAGTATCGTTCTTAGAGATTAAAACATCCAGGAAAGGCAGCGTGTTATTATATTCCTTTTCCATGGTAAATGTTATTGTCTTCTTTATCGTTTATATCATTTAGGAATGTGTCCAACAACTCTGATCCATGAGGCCATATTGAGAATACATCATCTACATACCTCCACCATACTGTGGGTTTTAAATTTTGTTTAGAAATGATATTTGTTTCAAAATCTTCCATAAATATATCGGCTAAGAATGGAGTATAAAATTTGTTTAATTTACTGTTTGTATTTTGAGAACGATTTCCGAAGTGAAAATTGAAACGTCAATACACGTATTTTTTTATCTTTAATTGTGGCTTATTCCCAGTTAAATAAAATAGTAATTAATTTAAAATGCCACAAGAAAATAGCTTCAGAACAATATAAATAAAAACTGTTTTTTGAAAAAAGTGATAAGCAGCAAAAACTTTTTAAAAATAATTTATTAAACTAATGATTCCACAAAATTCATTTGATTTGAACGGACTCAAAAGTTTGAGGGGATTTAGGGCTGCAGACCCCCTAAAATTTTTCTATGCGCTTAGATTTTGTCGTTTCTTTTTTATGAAAAATGCTTTTAGAACAAGAAAGTAACGTGTCAATTTTTATTACAAAATGTCAAGTAGTTTGGGAGATAATGCAAAAAAAAAAAATTTATTTTGTAACTACAAAGGGCTGTAAGTTTTTTTGTGTACACTTTTGTACTAAGGTAAGTTGGAATCAATCAATTTATTTTTGTCCCCGAAATGCGTGATTTAATTTATGACATACCTTTTTGAAACACTCTGTATAGATAGCGTAAGCTCATCATGACAACCCTATATATATATAAACAGTTTTATTCATTAACAAAAAATGTACGAGTATTCATATAAATGTTTAAATGAATCAGGATTTGTCATGTAATGTCAATCAGTCTTATTGAAAATTTTGAATTTCTGGTACTTTTAGCACTCTTTAATTAAGAGAGGTAATGTAAAAGTAGATAAGGACCCACATATTATTAAATTTCACATTTAATCTAATAATATCAATAAATCAATTATTGATATTATATTTAAAATAAGGTTTTCATTCAGATTGGGTATTTTATAAATAAATTTCCTTGATTTACTGTCAAAAAACTTTTAAAATAAATAACAATTACATAAATCTACTCTAAATTATATTCATTACTTCACAAAAACAAAAATATTTGACATAATAATTGCATAAACCTGTTTATAAATAAATTAAAATATTTTATATTTCTCGCTAGTATCTTAAATCTCTATTAAATTTAAAACTATCCGCCAAAACGGTCCGTTTCAAGATTGGCTGAAAAAGAAATTTACCGATAGAGGTCCGCCATGGGTGCCCAGTATGTTTGTAAACTGGGTTTTTGTATAATTTTGTCAAAATATTAACATCTCTAGTGGATATTATTTGTTTTTAAGAATAATCGAACATAGTATAAGATGTACTTGCCGTAATATCAGGTATTTATTAGATGTGTTGTGTGTAATGTTGAGTTTTTGTTTAGAATAGGGGTTAGGTTACCCTTGCGGCCTTATTGCAAACGTAAGATACGAATGTGGTTTTGGTACCTATTGATAAATAAAGAATGCGACCCGATGTAAATATGTTCGTGTTCATTTGTTTTTACAAATACCAGGTAAGATTCGAGTCGTTTATTACATTGTTGTCATGTTTATGTGACCTACAAAGTCATTAATAAAAGGGATGAAACTTTCTTAAATGTCATTTTCTAACAACTTGTCAGATTCCTGAAGATGAGGATGAACATTTTCCAAAAAATTAAAATTTTGTTGTCAACACTTCTAACATTGAAGTTTTGACAGCTTATTTATGGTTAGGAAATCTATTTTTTTACTTTCATTAAGTATTTTTCAGTTTCATTGTTTTGTTTGACATTAAATTTTTATATAAGTTCTTTTTATCAAATCAATTTTATTATTGAAATAATTGATTCTAACATGTAGTTTCTGTTTTATGTTGTAAATATTAGACTTTAATACAAAATAGTGATTAATAATACCTTTTATATAGGTTTGTACAGGATAGTATTGACTAAATTTTAAAAAATGTATCAAATGTTGATGTGCTGTTTAATTTTAAAATAATACTGAAGAATATTCATTTATCTTTTTAGCTAGATGTGAATGTTAGATTTTAAGTCATTATTAACTCAAGGTCTAAACTTACTATACTACATACTACTAGTTTTCTATTCTGTTCAGGTTTTTTCGTGAATCTTCAATTAGAGCAACAAAGGTTCATACATCATATTTTATACAATTTATTTTTTAAATCAGCTACAATTTACATACAACAAACATATTTGTTGTTTTTTTTAGCCCCACTGCCTGGTCACCTCAATCAGTTTAACTTATTGTAAAAATAGTTTTTAACATTTGGTCTCAAGCATGTATCTGATAAAACGAGCAATTGCAATTAAATATTTCAGTGTGTAAATGTTTGGCTAAGTTTTGCTGAACAATTTTCTCAAAAACAAATGAATGACACAATATTTGTGTGAAAAAGTTGTACCCATATCTTACATAAAGCTGTTTGAAATATTGAAAGATGTCTCAGTATGCAACTGTATCATTTATTTATAATTTTTACATTGTCCCCTGATTAACTTTTTTTGGTTGCTTTTAGACAGGTGTATTTCTTCTAATTACGAGAGAAGTTACTTGTAATTACTAATAAACAAATACTTCGGTTCACTTAAGTTATTTTGGTAAAGTAGGTAGATGGTATAACTATAGTTTTGTTTTAATTTGTACTCCCCTTTACCCTCCTCTGCCGCTTGAACTGCTGTTGTAAATTTTTAAAATTCTGATATATTTTTATTTAATCTATTTTTTAAGGATTCACCTAAATGGGAAATTTAACTACTGCATCTAAATATATCTCTAGTTTCATTGTTTTACATGACAATAGATTTTTATTCAGATTATTTCATTAGCAATTAAGTGTACATTATTTGTAGATAGGAAAGTATTACAACACAAAGTTAATTTTTTTTTCATTGGATCCTCTCCTCTGTACATGTTGGCAATTTCATTGCAAATGTGACCTATAAATACTCTTAATTAGCTCATTTTTAGTAGGTCACTTAACCCTTTCAGTTACTGTGTTGTCAATTGATGACACAAGAATTTTAACTTCGTTTAAGTAAATATTAGAGTTAGTCACAATTTTGTCAATTGACAACATCAAAAACAGAACCTATTTTAATAAAGAAAATGGTAATATTCCTACCAAAAGACATTAAGAATACCTTAACTGGGAATAATTTGGAATTATTAACAAAATATATTTCATTACACTAAAAAAAGTGTGACCAAAAGGGTTAACTAGTGTTGTTTGTAAAAGACTGTATAAAATTCTGAGCATGTGTCTCTAGCACCATATTTTGATTATTTCTAGTTATTTTGATGTTTCCATTTCAAGACTATTTTTATATCAATGTTCAGGTGCATATTACATAACATTTCTGAAGTTTCATTATTTGCTTTACAGTTGTGTTATATTTTATGGTTTTTTTTTAACTATAAGAGCTTATTTCATATTATATTTGGACTTTTCACATTTCTGCAGATTTTCAACATTATCAGACTTATCATAAGTTGTTTATTAAGTCATTTATTGACTTTTATGCTTCCTTTTACTTTAATCATATCTTCCCTGGACAGCATTTTGGGGTATATATTGATCAGTGTTGATTATAACATGCAGTGTTGATGAAATACCTGTTTTATATTAAATTCATGTAAGGATTTTTGCCTGCTGGCATTCTGTTGCTGTATCAGTTTTTGATTAGTCATAAATCTTTGTCATACCATCAATGACTAACAAAGAAAATTTATTTTTAATAAAAACACATTTGTACCTAGTGTTGGACAGTTCACTTATTATATTTAAGTGATGTTGAAATGGCGTTAAAGCCATAAAGCTGCTGGTGCAAATAATATATCTGTTGAAATGATTTGAATTCTGGGTGAAATTGACGTTAGTTTGATATACCAAATCAGCCAAATAGTAAGGGATACATGCATATGACTTATAAGAATATATTAATAAGAATTTCAAAATCAGTATTTATTATTATACACAAAGAGGAGTTAAAAATTCTTGTAGCCATTATCCCATAATAGGACTAATTACATTCCTGCAAAAGACTTTTATAATACTAGAGATGACTAAATTTTTTTTACTATCAGAAATTGCAGAACAAATGGATTTTCACCAGGTTACTAGAGAAAATAGATTAAACCATTATAAAAAAATCTAGTAAAACCTTTGGACCTAGTGAATTGGAAAAACATTTATGGAAATGATTAAATTACTCTATCTCCCTGTAATCTCATAAATGATAATGATTATGATCTCACCACTTGCTTGGTGGTGTGCTTATATAGAAATAGTTTATATTTGTTTTTGAACATATATTTTAGAAATCATTCGTGAAATGATTTTTTTTAAACCATTTTTGAGCTGGAAGTCAAAACATCAAATAAAGTATATATAATTTCCAGAATATATTAAACAGAAAATAGCTCTTTAGTGGATAGTTTGAATTCAAGACTTTTGCCCATTTTGTTTGTGGAATTGTGGAAAATGTGCTATCTTCATATTTTTTTTATTTTCTTCTCTGTAAAACAAGAATCTGCTTTTGTTATTGTGTTGGCATACTTCCACCATATATTTTTTCTATTTTTTTTAAGTAGCTGACGAAGATCATTCTGTGGGATTCCCAAAATTCAGGCAACATAATCAACAAACCTTTTTGCCTTCATTCATGACAAAAATCTTTATGTCTACATTGCTTTCTCTGATTTTTACAGTTTCAATACTTTTTGTATATTGCATCACAGTTTAATGTAAAATGATGTATTTTTATTAAATGTGTATCAATGTTTTACATGAAATATTAGAAAACAACCAACACCACACAGCTCTGTATTCTTTTATGTTCTCATTGATTGAATATATATTGAATTCTTGTCTTAAATAAGTCCCGTCCCATATCAGTGGACCCAATGTTATATTGAATAGAAAATAAAATTTTAGGGGAAAAGTCCTTGTTAAAATTTAATTAAATATATCTCAGTTTTATCAAAAAGATAAATGAATAAACCTTTTGTCTATTTAATTTCATTAAAAAAATCTTTATCCCAAGGATTTACATATCTATTAAATTTTAAGTAGTAATGTATTATCTGTTTATTCTATGATATTTAATTGTCTATTTCCAAAGTTTGTTTTGAAAGTATGTAGGTACATACTATCTACATAAATTTGGATATTGAAATATATAGATTTTATTGAAAATGAAACAAAATGTTATAAAGGTTTTTCTAGAACCGACTTCACAAAATAGTTTGCTTGGATAAGTGTCTTCAGTAAACTTTAACTTTATTCACATTCTTCAACTTCTACTAATGTTAGTTCATTATCATTTACAATACATTGTTATCGAAAATCTACTAAAGTGTCAAGACTGTCACAACTCAACTTCAGCTGATTTTAACTGACTTCTATGAATCTTTAAACTAAGGGGAAAGCTAACTGATCCACTTTTGTTTCATAAACATGTTCCATTAGACAAAGAAAATGCTTCTGCTTCCTCTAAGGTTCCCATATTTCCTAGATGTATATTATATATCTGCATCTTTCTAACTTTCTCATACTTTGAACATCATCATCATCTTTGGTTCGACAATCCTCTGTGCCTTTTCTAAGGCAATGTTAAGTTTTGGCCAAGTTAGGGCATCTCCTTGTCTGAGTCCATCCTTTATCTCAAAGTATCGAGAATTTTCTCCCTGTATCCTAACGCTGGGTTTTAAATTAGACATTGTCATTCTCGTTAATCAGACAAATTTTTCTGGTGTACCAAACCCACGCATTTATTGGTATAGTACTGTTCTCTTGGACACTGCCATAAGCGGCCATGAAGTTGACGAATAGGTGATGGGTTTTGATTTTAAATTCTAATGATTTCTTGAGCATCTGTCTTATTGAATCTGGTCAATTGTTGCTATGCCAACTGTGTAAACTTGTAGCCATTCGTAGAGAATATTTGTTAGTATTTTGTAAGCAGTTGTTAACAGGGTTATACCTCTGTAGTTGTCACACTGGAGCTGATCGCCTTTTTTATATAACGGGCATATCACGCTTTCGGACCATTCACAGGCTCCATTTTGCTAGACAAAAATAAAAGTTAATGGGGAATAGATTCCAATCATTTCGATCTGCTACAGCATTATCTGCTTTTTCGATATAATGCCCGTTAAATTTTGCGTCAAAAAGTTCAACCCATCTATTTATTTTAAAGAAGGATATTTCCTTCTTCATCCCTACAGCTCCCTATTCTTGGCTTAAACTTGTTACTCATTTTGTTTACATTTCTGTAGAACTTTTGAGTTTCATTTTGATTTTTTAGCCATTCTATGTTTTCTGCTTGTTTTCTGTAACTGCTTCTTCAAATTGCCCTTTTTCAAATTGAGCACATTGACTTCAAGTATTTTTATTTTCTTCGGTATTAGTAGTCTTGTAACTTTTGCTCTGTCTTCTAATTTCTCTTCTGGCATTTAGTCTAACAGTTTTACTTGCTGATTTTTAAATTTCAGTTTATCTTTCTTTTTTATTATTGACGATTTTTTTTGCATCAGCTATCACCACGCAGCCAGTCGTCAGAGGCGAAAATACCATTGAACCTTTAAAAATCATATGAACAAGCTGAATTTTTAAAAGCGTAGTTTCTAAGACAATAGTTCATGGAATTTTTAGTGTTTGTCTATACAACCACATTTCAAAAGCCTCTAAGAGGTCAATAGTCGATACTTTTAAGGCCCATGCTTCGTTACTATATATGACAACTGACACCATGTAACATTTAATCATGCAGTTCTTGGAATGGCTTGGAATTTTTCCACTGTCTTCTTCCATTTTCTTTCTGTCCATTGCCGCAGTTCTCCAATTTGTTATCCCGATTGTTTGTTGGTATTCCTTACACGCTTCTAGCCACTTTTTTCGTTGTCATCCTCTTTCCTGCCACTCTCAATAGTGATTTTTGCAAGATTTGCATCTAGGTCACTTTGTTCTGATGACGATCTGGCTAATTTCTGGTTTTCCGTACAGCTCTCCGAACGTCTTCATAGTCTTTTACTCTCCCAATATCTTTTTTAAAACTCTTCGTTCCCAGATATTCAGCATATTTTGTTCATAACCCATGTTTTGCTCTCTTACAGGGCCTTCAGTTGGATCACTGTTCAGTATAGTCTTAATTTTACCTCTCTGGAGATGTTTTTCGCTTAGTAGTTTATGTAAAGCTCCTACCGTGTTCGTCTCGAAATCCGCTTCTAAATTTCTTGGCTTTCGTAACCTTTACTTGTTAGGGTTACTCCTCGATATCAACTTTGTCACCTATTGAATCAATACTCTTTACTCTCGTTGTTTGTGGTAGTCTTCAGTTGTGTGTCTTCATAATGTGGTCTGCTCCATTTCCATATACTTTGTTTTTTGCTCATTAGTAATCAGTCCATGCTGTTTAGCCTTCGCTTCAAAGAGTTTGAAAATACCCAGCAGTTCCCCTTTAGTTATTGCCATTAACACGACATCGTCCGTCAAGGCCAGGACCTGACTTCTCTTGTCATAAATCATACCTTTCGTTCGTATTCCACTCTCCCCCATTATTACCTCCAGCAAAAAATTTAAGAGTATTTTAGACAGCGGATCTCCCTGCTTTAGTCCTCTTTTTACTTCAAATTTTCCTATTACGCTTCCTTTTATCCTTACTCCATTGTCGGTTTTCATTAAGGTCATTTTTACTGTCTGATCATCTTTTTTCCATAATTCCAAGGGTATGGTGCAGACGTCTTCTTGTCGCAGAATCTTAAGCTCGTTTGAAATCTATAAAGAGGAGGTTTAGATTTAACTGTTGCTCGCACGTACTGCTGTAAATCATTTTTAACGCGAATATTTGATCTATGGCGGATCTGCTCTTTTGAATCTTCCCTGGTATTCACAAACTAGCTCGTTTAAGTACCTTACATGTTACATCCAGAAGACACCCATGTAGTTTTCGCATACTGCTCTATCGCCCTTCTTATGAATGGGACATACTATTGTCTCTCTCCATACTTCCGGCATTTCCTCTCGCTCTTTTTCCTTTCCGGCGATTTCTCTTATTTCTTCCATGGTGGTAGTCTCCATTGTTTCCGCCGGGTCGTTGACTTACTTGGACCCCTACCATTTTCATTTGCTCCTGATCATTTCCATCCGGTTCTTCATTAAGCAGCTCCCTGAAATGCTCTTGACAATTATCTATCTTCCTCTGCTTATCTTGTATTAGATGCCCTTCTTTACTCTTGTAGTAATTTTGTTTTCTTGCGCCTTGGTCACTGATCCTCTTCGCCTCCTGTTAGAAGTTTCTTACATTTTTATGAATATAATGTTCTTAAATCTCTTGGAGCTTTTTATCTATATGCTCGCTTTTCATCCTCCTACACACTTTTTTGGCATGTCTTCTCTCTGCCTTATATTCGTTTCTATTTTCGTCACTTGGTTTGTCCACATACTTTAGTCTTGCATCGTTTCGTTTGTTAAGGCCTTTCTTGCAATCGGCATCCAACCATTCTTTATCTCTCCCCTTTTTTACTTGACCTAACCACTTTTGAGCTGCTTTGATTTCGAGGTCACCTTGATTTTGAAGTAGTTTTGCTGTCACGCCTGCCTGGAAGTTGTCAGCGGTGTCCTTCTTTCTTAGTTTGGTGACGTCATATTTTTTATACGATATTCTCTGTTCTCTGATCGTTGGTATAGTTTCTCTTAATTTCGTGATCATCAGTATGTGATCGGAATCTGCGTCTGCCCCCTATAACTTCTAACATCTGTTATGAATATCGCATGTTTGCTTTCCACTAGGACATGGTCGATTTGGTTGCCTGTTCTACCGTCTAGTACTTATGCAGTACTTATATTTGACAAATATTCTGGCAACCAAGTCTTATCGTTTCTACTAATTTATCATTGTTACTTCTTTCTATATTTTTAGGATTTATTTTTTCTGACAGCTCTATCTTCAAGATCAATATTTGTGAAACTTGAACCAGTTGTTAAAATATATCTCAATTTTTCTCCCGTCATACCTTCTTTCCTTTCGAACATTACTTTCATTTTTCGGAATCTTTTTCAGTTCTTTTTGACCAACATATACCTTGGTAGACAACTAGCATTTATCTTAGACAAATCTTGGATAATAGCCATATTCACCTTCAGATCTTCTGTTTTAACATATATCTTCTCTTGTTCAGTACTTATCATAGCAGATAAATTAGCTCTTATTTTGGACATATTTGATAATATAGCCTTTTATTTATTTAAACTTTGAAAAATTAAAGGCAAATATCGAGCACAATTTTAATAATCAAATCTTGCCCAAGTAATTTCGCTTTCTACAGTATCATCAGGGGCATTTCGTCAAATTTGGGCTCCAGCAAGCGCAGAATGTAATAAACATGAAATTGTACATAACACTACACTAAAACAAGGAATGTAGTGTTATGTACAATTTATGTTCAATTTCACGTTTATTACATTCAGCGCTTGCTGTATAGCCCAAATTTGACGAAATGCCCCTGATGATGCTGTAGAAAGCGAAAGTACTTGGGCAAGATTTGATTATTAAATTTGTGCTCGATATTTGCCTTTAATTTTTCAAAGTTCATTTATTAGAGCATTCAACCTTATTTCAATTTTATTTATTTCTACTAATCCCTACATGAAACAAGGCTACAAATCAAGGCTTATAAACCTTGAAAATACATTTTCATATTTTTTATTAAATTAGTGACATATTTATTTAATTTACGGTATTGTATTAAACATATTAATTTTGTGTTTTCTTTTTTAGAAGTTGTTAATTTTAAGAGAACCTTGTACTGGGAAAGGTAATCAAATTATGGGGTTGTATATATGTTGATACAATTTGACTGGATCCAAGGATGCAAAGCCTGGAGGCAGCATGTGAGGAGGGTGAAGTAAGTAACACTTTTAATACATCCTGTATTAAAACCTAAATTGCTAAAAGTATACAGACATTAATTATTATAGGACCTAAGTGCTGCGGTAAAAAAATAATTAAAAACTGAGTGTATATGTTATACCAAATTCAATTCAGTCTAGGCGGTGTCAGTATTTTGATAGTTTAGATAATATTGTATTTCAACAATAGAAAAACAGATTCTACGTACGAACTTCACCTTCTACACCAGAATCAATCTTTTAATGCCAATTTCAAATTATTCACATTCAAAATAAAGGCCTTAAGCTATCTTTATTAGAATCTATAGAAATTAACCAATTTAAAAATACAGATATAATTCTGAATGACCAACTTCAGGCAAACAGTTTTCCCATCCTCAACTTATTCAGTTAATAAAGGCTATAAAGTGTAAAAGCATACCAAAAATAGATCACTAGAGAAAGGAACTCTGCCGAAACGGATGTAGTGATAATAAATTATAATACATTTTGTATTTTGTGGAATTGCTGAAAATAAAAGTTTTATTGTTAGAATCGTAATATTACTGCTGTGAAGTGGTATTATTCGATAGAGCTAATTAATATTTTGAGAAAAAAAAATTAACATGTGGGTACCATGAAACAAAATATTTCTTCTTATTTAGCTTTTCCCTATTTAGGGGTCTTTGTTCCTAACTCTTCGTCGCCACTTATTTTTGCCTATCGGAAAATTCTTCACTTAAACCTTTCTCTCTTAAGCCTAACATGACCAAACCATTGCAGCTTCTTCCTGGCTCCTTCTCTAATTAAGTCGTTCCTGATCCTGTCCTTTCTAGTCTTACTCAACATCCATCGTAAAATTTTCATTTCATCTACCTCTATCTTCTTTTCCTGAATATTCCTTCAAGGCCACACTTCACCGTCGTATACAAACCCAGGTCTCACCACACTCTTGTATATCTTTCCTTTCAGCCCTTTATGATTTTTCGATCATAAAGTAACCCGCTCATTCGCTTTCAATTAAACCAACCAGCCTGTGTACTGTGGGCAATTTCTTGATCTAGTGTCCCATATTCCGTTATGTAGAAACCAAGGCATTTAAATTTTTCTGCTATTCCTAGTTTTTCTCCAAGTAATTATATTTCCCCAACCATTCCTCTACCTCCTAATGAAATACACTCTGTTTTCGACCTTCTAATCTTAAGTCCTCCCTCTTCAATAGCCCTTCTCCAACCATACTTCTCGAACATATCTTTGCTCTCCTCTACTAACACGATATCATCAGCAAAGAGCATTGACCAAGGATCAACCTCTCTTACTTTCCCTGTCAGTACATCTATAAAAAGATTAAACAGGTAGGGACTCACTTAAGAGCCTTGATGTAAACCAACTGTCACTGGAAAACTTTCGGTCCAACCGACACAAGTCCTTACTTTGGCATAAGCTCCCCCATGTATATCCTTCACAGGACTTACATACTTCTCAGGAACCCATTTCTCCCATACATCTCCATAGCTCTTGTGAAGGATTGTGTCGTACGCCTTCTCAAGATCTATAAGTACCAAATGTAGCTCGCTTTTTAGAACTTTTAGGACTACGGTTCTCTCTCAAATTTTCATTATGTGCGGCATTAACTTTATCTGTATATAGTTCTTACAGTCCCGAATGTCTCCTTTATCTTTATATAATGCTAAAGATAAAGATCTCTCTCTCCATGCATCGGGCATCCTTTCTTCCTCATATATCCTTCTCATTATTTACCACAAAATATCAACCACTTCCTCTCCTCAAGTATTCCAGACCTCTATAGGTATTCCATCAGGTCCTACTGTCATATCATTCTTCATCTTATTTAACGATTCGGCAACCTCATCTCTCGCTATCCTCGAATATTCTCATTTGAGATCCTGCATCCTCTGTCTCTCCTCTTATGTTCTTCATTTAGCAACTTTCTAAACACTCTTCCATCCGCTATGTTAATCTACCCCACCTCCTTTGATGATTTATCCCTTGATTTACCAACGCTGTATAACCTTTTCATCTCCTCGGGTGTTTCGAACTTTTCATACTGCTGTGCAGACGATCTTTCTTTAGTATTAGCTACTGTTGCAGGACTAAGCTATGATTCTGTAATCATGATCGTGATTTTTATTCATTGTTATTTTTACCTGTGATTGTGATTGAACAGAGCAATTAAATAGTAATATGCGTATGTTAAACTCCGAATAAAAAGTGTTTCCATTATTCATCATAAACAAGTGTTATTATTTTGTCTAGGTCACGATTCTAAAATTGGGTTTGCTGGAACGCGTAAATCGCGTGAAAATAATTTTGTATTAATAAATAATTTTGTTTTTTTCATTGTTTATATTTTATAAAAATAACAGTAGTACACAATATAACCCTGTAAAAATAAAGTAAATAACAAAATAAATTTGTTGAAAAAACTTAAACTATAGTTATACTATATATTATAGTTTTGTTTAAAATTATAAATCTAGCGTAATTAATTATTATAGTGTACAAAAAACAAAACAATTTTGTATGTTTAAAATTTTTTTTTATAATATACATTATAATCTATCACTACCCACTATAAATATACACTAAACTAGCTATGTTCATATTTCTTCAATGACGATATAATATTATTAGCATTGCCTTTACAGCCTATAGTAGAGACTTCACAATACCACCGGACTACCTCTAACTCGTTATCCTGTTAGACATATTTCATTTCACAACTTTGCGACTGAGATGAAAACGTGATATATCATGTTTTAGCGATCGAGAACTACAGACATAGAATAAGACCGAAATAACAGTCACAGTATATTTTGTAGTTATTCACAGGGTAGTTATATTTAACCCACCTCTACTAGCTTGAGTGCGCTTTGCTTTCCTTTTTGCTACCTTGTATATATCCTTATCTTAGTCTCTTTTAGACCTGTCTTTCCTCTTTCTAGCCTCTTACTGACTTACTTACTCCGTGGCGTTACAACCCTTCGTGGGTTTTAGCCGACTCGACAACATGCCTCCACTGTTTTCTGTCTTGAGCAACCTCCATCCAATTCTCCACGCCCATAGTGCTTAGGTCTCCTGCTATATTATCTCGCCACCGGAGACGAGGGCGTCCGCGTGGTCTCCTTCCAGTTGGGACTTCCTCCCACACCAGTCTTACTGTTCGTTCGTCAGAATGTCTTCTGAGGTGTCCTGCCCATTGGAGTCTTCTGGACTTTATTTCTTTTATGATGGCGTCTGGGTAAAGTTCTTCAAGCTCTTTATTAGTTCTTATCCTATATTGTCCTGATGCTTCATCAAGCACCGGACCAAAGATCTTCCTTAGGATTTTTCTTTCCCAAACACGTAGTCTCTCTTCATTTGCCTTTGTTATCGTCCACGTTTCGCTTCCATACATCACAACGGGTCGTATTATTGTTTTATAGACCTGTATCTTCGTACGTCGTGTTAGTTGTTTTGATTTTATAAGGTTTTGGAGGGCAAAAATACATCTGTTGCCGGCCTGAATCCTGTTGTTTATTTCTTGTGATCCGTTATTGTCTTCAGTTATTGTTCCAAGATACTTGAATTCTCTAACGCGCTCAAAGTTAAAGTCATCGATGGTAATGTTCTGACCGATTCTGTCTCTGCTTTGGTTATTGCGGCTCATATACATATATTTCGTCTTGTTTTCGTTGATTTGGAGCCCCATCTTCTCTGCTTCCTTCTCAAACCTTACGAAAGTCTCCTTCATCCCTAATCGCGTGTTTCCTATTAGATCTATATCGTCTGCAAATGCCAGTAGTAAGTTTGGTCCTTCTCGACGAAATACTGTATTCGGTTTTTCGATTCTTGCACTTCTGATTATGTGCTCCAGAGCTAAGTTGAAGAGTTGTGGTGAAAGTGCATCTCCCTGTTTTAGTCCATTGTTTATTTCAAATGTCTCCGAGTATTGTTGTCCAACTCTCACCTTACATCATAACCGTTCCATACACATCCGTATCAACCGGACTAGTTTTTTTGGAAAGCCAAGTTCCTGCATCGCTGTCCACAGTCTGTCCCTACATACTCTATCAAATGCTTGTTTAAAATCTATGAACATCTGATGAAGCTCACGATCAAACTCCCAGCATTTTTCCATTATCTGTTTTATTGTGAATATCTGGTCCTCTACCTACTCTCTAACCTTCTGTTGCACTTCATTGTCACATCACCAAGTTTCTTTGTCTGTAGGAAACCCTTTACCAGATGTTTTTCCTAGCATTTCCTCTCCCACTCGCACCATAACTTTACTGTTGGCTTCCCACCAGTCATTTACTGTATCTTTTTCCTCAAGCTCTTCCAGCAGTCTACTTTTAAAGACTCTTGTCAAGTCCTTATCCATTCACTTCCACCACTTTACTTTCTGGTGTCCTACTTGTTTTCCATTACACGAATTAAAAACAATGAAGAGTGGAAAAAGCCCTAGACCTGACATGCTTCCTATAGAAATCCTAAAAATTCTAGATAAGAAGCACATTAATGTTTTAATGACACTCCTGAACCAAATTTATAGTTCAGGCATATTACCCAAAGAGTAGTTAACGTCGATTTTTATTTGTCTCCCCAAAAGAAAAACACAAAAGAATTTAGCGATTACCGCACCATTAGCTTGATGTCTCATGTGCTAAAGTTACTGCTAAAAGTCATCTATAACCGAATATATGACATAGACGCTAATAATACACAATTTGGTTTTCACAAAGACCTAGGAATGCGTGAAGCCCTTTTTTCACTTAATATACTGGTACAAAGATGCCTGGACGTCAATCAAGATATATACGCATGTTTTATTGACTATAATAAAGCATTCGATAAAGTTCGACATGAACAATTAATGAATGTCCTGAAATCAAAGAACAACAACGACCTCAGGGTTATATCGAATTTATACTATAAACAAGGCCAACTGGATTGACTTCTCTGTGGATCTAGATAAATGCCTAGGGTGGATTACACCGAATATCAAAAACTACCA